ACGACCTGATGGCGCAGTGCGGTCTGATCGCCTCAGCCCTCCAGCAAAAGGAGCAAAGAAACCAACAGGCAGCTACGCTATCTGGCAACACTCCGTCAGGCATGCATAGGCTGCTGAAAGAACCGACGGAAAGACTGACGCCTATCGTCAACATGGTTCGCCTTCGCGACCCGACCCTGGTAGCCACGACTGTGCAGGTTGTCGTCAGGCTGCTTGTCAGACTGCGGGAGAATGACCACGAGATTCCACAGAGCGCGAGGGATTTCATTCACAATGTTTGCACTAAAGGACCCGATGGCCGATACATTACCCCTTCGAACGCAACAAGCCAGCAACGGGCCGAGCTCCTCAAGGCCCTGGGAGAAGAAGAAGAAGAAGACGACGTCGAGGTCATTTCTATACAGCCAGCTTCTGCTGCCACCAAGAAGAAGCAGACGTCGCTGGATGCATGGTCAAAGTCTGGATCTTCCGGTTCAAGCTCTGCGGTTCCCAGGTCCAGGTCCAACAAGGATGACGTCCTCTCACTTAGCAGCTCTGTCGACAAGAACCGCTCCCTATTAGACAAGATTTCTGCCCGACAATCGGCTATGGCCAAGACCAAACCTCTGCCCCTCAAGGCCAAAATCGATCCCAGCTCAACCAAAGCTCTCATTGAATCCCGAAAAGCCGCCAAGGCCGACAAGGCAAAGAGAGATGCCGAAGCCATCGCCAAGGCCCAAGCTTTGCGAGGGCCTGAAATTAAGGGTCTGTCTGGTGTTGTTGGCAAGGATCACGCGCCATCAAAGAACGAGATCATGGTGGACAGTGATGACGACGAGTCTTCCGATGACTCTGAGGACGAGGACGTCAAGGCTCTCATCAACAAGGGCCAGCTTGGCCAGAAAGCCAAAGACGAAGCGACACGGCGTCAAGAACAGATCTTGCTGGAAAAGACCCGAGGGCCTGTCAAGAAACAGCGCATTGTTCGCTCGGCCAAGGATATGCGTGCACGTTTGATTCCTCCCATGGACCAGCTTCACCAGGCCATTCTCGAGTGGGATATCTTCTTCGAGGGTAACGACCCTCCGACGCTGGAGAAATGCGCTCGGGTTGCCGATACATACCCGCATCCTGAGGCTTACAAGCAGACCTTTTGGAAGTTGCTGGTGTCCGAGGCTTGGCGCTCTTTTGTTACGTCCAAGGATGAGGCAACATCAAAACCGTTTGGCATCAAGATTGCCTCACGCATGAGCATCGACAGGTTTCTCGAAGTCACCGCAAGCATGCCAAAGCTCGAGAACAAGGAACGCGGCTTGTCCGAGGGTGATATCATCTTGCTCTCCCAATCATCAAACCCCCTCAGCGACCCCAATGAACCGCATGCTCTAGCACGCATCTGGAAGACTGCCTACAAAAAGGATATGCTCGAGGTCACGTACCGCCTGAACATGCGGAACAACCCGCTGCAGAGCAACCTCCACATCAGCGCTGAGCTCTATGCTGCCAAGATCACGAACATGACCACGATCGAGCGCGAGTATGCCGCTCTAGAGAGCTTGAAGTACTATGACCTGATGGACGAGGTCCTCAAGGCCGAGCCGTCGCCGGTCTTGAAGTACAGCGACGAGCTCGTCAACCAGGTCTTGACAAACTACACACTCAACCCTGGGCAGGCCAAGGCCATTCTCGGAGCTCGTGACAATGACGGCTTCACGCTTATCCAAGGCCCACCTGGTACGGGCAAAACGAAAACCATCGTAGCCATGGTGGGTGCTCTGATGACTGGCAACATTCCGCAGTCTGGCGGCGTCCGGCTCGCGACGGGCGGCGCCAACCAGGCAGCAGGCCAAAAGAAGAAGATTTTGGTGTGCGCGCCCAGTAACGCTGCTGTGGACGAACTGGTTCTGCGTCTCAAGCAGGGCATCCGGACCATGTCGGGCAATGATCACAAGATTAACATTTTGCGTCTGGGCCGGAGTGACGCCATCAACGCAGCTGTCAGGGACGTGACCCTGGACGAACTGGTCAAGAAGCGACTCGAGGGCGACAACACGGCAGAGAAGCTCAAGACTGCGCGCGACAAGTTGCATTCTGATGCCGCAGGCATCAGGGATAAGGTCAACGAGCTTCGACCCGCCCTCGAGGCAGCCCGAGGCACCGACCGTGAGCTCGAAATGACTCTGCAGCGGCAATTCGACAGCCTGAAGCGTGAACAGTTCCGCATCGGTACGCAGATCGATGCCGACAAAGAAAGCGGACAGACCATCTCTCGCGAGGTGGAGATCAAGAGGAAGCAGGTACAACAGGAGATTCTCGACTCGGCCCAGGTGCTGTGCGCCACATTGAGTGGTTCCGGCCATGAAATGTTCAAGAACCTGAGTGTTGACTTTGAGACTGTCATCATCGATGAAGCTGCGCAGTGTGTCGAGCTCAGCGCCCTCATCCCTCTCAAGTACGGTTGCACCAAGTGCATCCTGGTCGGAGATCCCAAGCAGCTCCCGCCCACAGTCTTGTCACAGTCGGCTGCCAGGTTTGGTTACGACCAGAGTCTCTTCGTTCGCATGCAGCGCAACCACCCTGAGTACATCCACATGCTCGATACTCAGTACCGCATGCACCCGGAGATCAGCTACTTCCCCAGTCAAGAATTCTACGAAGCCAAATTGGTGGACGGTCCGAACATGGCCGGTTTGCGACGGCAGGCGTGGCATGCCAGCCCTCTTCTGGGCCCCTATCGCTTCTTTGACGTTCAGGGCACGCAGGAGAGGGGCCGCAAGGGCCAGTCGCTTGTTAACCTGGCTGAGCTGAAGGTGGCCATGCAAATTTACTCGCGGTTTCGCACCGATTTCGGCCGCGACGGCAACATTGCCGGCAAGATTGGCATCATCACACCTTATAAAGCCCAGCTATTCGAGCTGCGCAACCGATTCGCCATGGAATACGGCGATCAGATCACCAACGATATAGAGTTCAACACGACGGACGCGTTCCAGGGCCGAGAGTGCGAGATTATCATCTTCTCCTGTGTGCGAGCTAGCCCGACAGGT